AAAGTTTCATTATCTTAAATCTTCACTTTCAGCTTGCGCGTCCGAGGTAATAGCATCAATTGAATTTAGCGAGGCAAATTACATTGTAGCGTGGAATTTGCTTTGTGAGCGCTATAATAATGAAAGACTTCTTGTTCATAATCATGTAAAAGCATTATTTAATTTAGATATTAAAACCTGTGAGTCTTCAAAAATATTACGGTTTTTGATAGATTCTATTTCAAAACACTTAAAAGCATTAAAGCAATTAAACCAACCCACCGAGCATTGGGATACTTTAATAATTTACGTAGTAACTTCTAAGTTTGATAATAAAACAGCGCGAGAATGGGAAGAATTTAGATCGAAAATGCAATATCCGACAGTGCGAGATTTAAAAACATTTTTAAAATCAAAGGCTGATTTGCTGGAAACAATAGAATCTAAACGCGATACATCCTCAGGAAATACCTCTTCTTTTCATAAAAAACAATCCAGAATATCTCAATCGTTTGTCAATACGGAAAATGTTTCTTCAAGGAACAATAATACAGCTGATCGTTCGGGAAATAACATGACTTGTGCTTTCTGCAAACAAAATCATTATATTCGAAACTGTGCAGAATTTCTTAAACTTTCCCCAGCAGAAAGAAATACGCATGCGAAAAGACTTAGATTATGTATAAATTGTTTACGACCTGGTCACATAAATACGGTTTGCAGACTAAGCAACTGCAGAAAATGTAACGGTAGACACAATACGATATTACATATACAAAATAACGAATACAATAGACGCGAAAATAATACAACGGAGAACTCAAATGTATCTCTAACTTGTTCAAATATTACTCAGGAAAACGTTTTACTTGCCACAGCTTTGGTACAAGTAATTGATAAATTCAATAAATCTCACACCGTACGCGCGTTGCTAGATTCAGGTTCCCAATCTAGTTTTATTTCATCAAATTTATGCGATATACTTAATCTCGAAACAGAAAATATCAATATGGCCGTGGTAGGTCTTAATAGTAGCAAATCCCAGATTAACAAAAAATGCGAAATTTCTGTGGAGTCGCTACATAGTGCATATTCTGTAAAATTATCATGTCTTATTATAAACGAAATTACTGGAATCCAACCAACTACTGTTGTTAATATCAACAGGTTAAATATTCCAAAAAATATAATCCTTGCTGATCCAGATTTCTACAAACCAGGTCCCATAGACTTACTAATTGGAGCAAATTTATTTTGGAAACTGATGCAAATTGGACAAATACGTCTAGGATCAGATCAGCCAGTATTACAAAAAACTTCTTTTGGATGGATAATTTCTGGAAACATTACAGAAAATACGAATGTATCTCACTGCAATCTGGCTTTAAACGGTGATATTCAAAAACAACTAGAGAAATTCTGGTTATTAGAAGAATGCGGTGTAAAACCGGCAATATCCGAAGAAGAAGCGTCATGCGAACAACATTTTATTGAAAATACGAAACGCGATATAGAAACGGGTAGATTTGTAGTATCTATTCCGTTTAAAACGAGTACAGATGAATTAGGCGATTCGGAAGAACAAGCGCGAAGGCGATTTTTTATCATTAGAACGAAAACTTAAGCATAATTCAGATTTACGTGAAAAATATGTTGATTTTATGAATGAATACAAAGCGTTAGGTCATATGACCAAAGTAAATAAATTAAATACAAATGCGATTTACTATTACTTGCCACACCATGGAGTACTTCGAGAGGAATCTGTTACTACAAAGCTTCGCGTTGTCTTCGATGCTTCCGCTGCCACATCCACAGGTTTATCACTTAATGACCTACAAATGGTAGGCCCAACAATACAAAGTAGTCTGTTGTCAATACTCTTAAGATTTCGAATTCATGCATTCGTGATAACAGCCGACATCGAGAAAATGTATAGGCAAGTAATGATTAATCCGAAAGAGCGATCGTTGCAACGAATATTTTGGCGTAGTAATCCCAACGAGGAATTAGAAATATATGAATTAAACACGGTTACGTACGGTACTGCTTCAGCGCCTTTTCTAGCAATTCGTTGTATCATGGAGCTAGCCCTAAATTGTGAAAGAAATAGACCAGAGTTATGTCAAATAATTAAAGCGACATATACGTAGACGATTTAATTACGGGTGCTGATTCTATTCAAGAAGCAGTGAGTTTAGGCTTGGGTATTTCAAAAATTTTATCTGAAGGGTGCTTTAAATTGCGAAAATGGCACTCAAATAGCGATACGATACTTAAACTAATAAAGGGCGATGTACCTTCACAGAAAACGGTTCAATTCAGTGAAGATCAAAACACAAAAACATTAGGCCTCGGTTGGTCATGCGATTCTGATTCTTTGACGTTTAAAATTGAACCAAATTCTATAGACGGTCGTGTAACTAAAAGAATCATTCTTTCGGCTGTTGGTCAAATATTTGATCCACTAGGCCTTTTAGCGCCTTGTATTATTAAAACGAAGATTATACTTCAAAGGCTTTGGCTAGAGCGATTAAGTTGGGATGAATCAGTTCCTCAGCCGTTACATGGTGAATGGCTTAAGATGAAATCCGAGATTCCCAAACTTAATTCATTAATTATTCCACGTCACGTAATATTACCAAATGCACAATCAATTCAATTACATGGTTTCTCGGATGCTTCCGAACACGCGTATGGAGCCTGCATCTACCTACGTTCTATTACTCGAAATAATCAGGTTTCGGTTAGGCTTCTATGCGCAAAATCTAAAGTAAGTCCGCTGAAAACTATTACGATTCCCAAACTCGAGTTATGCGCAGCTGTTGTTTTAGCCAAATTATTTACAATTGTTAAGGATGCACTTAACAACACAATATTTGAAAGCGTTACCTTATGGACAGATTCCACAATCGTGCTAGGTTGGTTGAAAACGGAACCACACCGATTAAAAACGTTCACCTCTAATAGAGTTGCCGAAGTACAAACTTTAACTAGTTCTTGTGATTGGCGGCATGTTTCCTCAAAGGACAATCCCGCAGATTTAGTGTCGCGCGGTATTAGTCCATATGAGTTGCAAGAATCTAATTTGTGGTGGTCTGGTCCAAGTTGGTTAAGCAAATCCGAATGCGATTGGCCTCAAGGGGTAAAAAGTTCAGAGAACTTGCCTGAACTAAAGTGTGCCTCAAATACATTCTTAATACGTGCGTTGGAACCAGTAGTAGATATACGTCGCTTCTCTTCATTGAGCAAGCTAATTAGAACAGTAGCATTTGTTCTACGATTCATTTCAATTATCTCAAATAAAGATTCTAATTCTAGGCGAACAAATAGTCCTCTTAGTACTGAAGAATTAAGAAAGGCGTACAAGCTTCTGCTAAAAATGTCACAAAGCGAGTCATATACAGCAGAGATAAACAACTTATTAAATAAACAAGAAATCAATACTAAAAGCAAAATTCTTAATCTTAATCCTTTTATCGATCAGGAAGGTTTATTAAGAGTTGGTGGTCGTTTAACAAATTCAGATTATTCGTATGACAAGAAACATCCCATTATCGTATCGGCACACCATCCGTTAACAAAATTAATTTTTAAATCAGAACATCTAAAATTGATGCATGCCGGCCCACAACTTTTGCTTAGTTCGTTACGTCAGTCCATTTGGCCGGTATCAGGAAGAAATCTTGCTAAATTAACAGTTAGACAGTGTGTGACTTGCTTCAGATTTAATGCGAGGAACACAAATCCTATTATGGGTAATTTGCCGAAAACTCGATTTGATGCTGGTTATCCATTCAAGGTTTGTGGGGTAGATTATGGCGGACCTTTTATTATTAAAAATCGATACGGTAGGGGCAGTAAAACTTCAAAATGTTATATGGCGCTGTTTGTATGTTTTGCTGTCAAAGCAGTTCATATTGAGCTAGTTTCTGATCTTTCGACAGATACTTTTTTATTAGCACTAAAACGATTTATTAGCAGACGCGGAAAACCTCAACAAATATATTCTGACAACGGTACTAATTTCGTTGGCGCGAATCACGAATTACAAGCGTTAAGTAAGTTCTTGATTTCAAATCAAAATAAAATTTCGGAGTTGTGCTCATCCGAAAATATAAATTGGCACTTTATTCCAGCACATTCTCCGCATTTCGGTGGCCTCTGGGAGGCAGGAATTAAATCAAGTAAAAATCATTTAAAGCGGGTTGTAGGGAATAATATTCTAACATTCGAAGAATTATCAACAGTGTTTGCACAAATCGAGGCGATTTTAAATTCCCGACCCCTCTCACCACTCTCTTCCGATCCTAACGATGAAAATCCATTAACTCCTGCTCACTTTCTCATCGGCCAACCGTTAATCGCAACACCAGAACCCGACATCACCGAGTTACCTACTGGACGACTTTCTCGTTTCCAACTCCTGGAACAAATGCGACAGAACTTCTGGCGACGATGGTCGAAGGAGTACATATCCGAATTACAGCAGAGGGTTAAATGGAAAAAGACGCAGAGTACTTTGTCACAAGGCTCCATGGTACTCGTGAAGGAGGATAATATCAATCCGTTAAAATGGAGACTGGGTCGTGTTCTGGAGTTACATCCTGGAAAAGATGGAATTTGTCGAGTGGCATCGATCCGAACCGCAAATGGTGTCATTCGTCGAGCTTTTCCAAAGATTTGTCCACTACCAATTCAAGATTGAAAGGAAGTCCTTTCAAGGCCGGGGGCATGTTAGAGACTGCGAACATCGGCAACGCAGCTTTTCAACCCGATGTGCCGAGGTAGCGACTTCTATTCGAGAGGCGAGGAGAGCTTCACCGACCGCCGTGGTGTGAAGACACATTCAATTCACATTGTAAAAATTCAAATAAATAAACGTTATACGAAAGCGTAAATGCGTTTTAATTCGACCAAATAAGAAAATATACAGTCCACTTATTCATATACAATTAGAGAAAACGCAAGAACAACTTCTATTTGCCAAGATATTTTTTTTAATTTAAAGAAACACTTACCTTCTTCAACAATGTTGGAACTTTCATTTTCATTTAATTCATCCTCATCATCATACTGATATTCGCCTAGATCTCTTTTTCTTCTATTTAAACCATCCGTCCTGCACATTTCTTCCTCGTCTTTGCGGGTTATTCTTTTAAAAGATTCTATATCAGATTTTTCATAATTGGTCGCACTTCTTTTCTTACGAACATGAATCATATTGCTATCTTCATTATGGTAGTTAGGGTCAATATCCTGAGATTCTTCATCTAATAACGTAGTGATAACTTGTCTTTTTTTACGTTTAGCTTCTTCTTCTTTCCTTTTAATACTGTCTATCTCTTTAATAACTTCCTCTTGCAACATTTTTATTTTGTCACGAATTTCTCTTTCAACTCTTTTTTCGTATTCATTTACTTTTAAATTTGAACTTGTACAATCTAATTCATCGTTACTAGATCTTTTAAAAGCTTTTGTGTTTTTGAATTTTATGTTACCAACGCTAAAAAAGGAAATAAACAATAAAATCTAGGTATATATTAAAGAATATTAATTCTATATATTCCTTTTTTTATATATACGCTGAATCAAAATTTAAAAATAAAGAAAAAGGAGACAGTAGAAAAATAGATAACCACAGCAACTTATAGCATAAGATCCCATTGGAGGATCACTACGTTCATAACGTAGTTCATCAAATTCACATTTTTACATACATTTAAAATTAAATAGAATACATTGATAATAGGTCGCCAGTCAAAAAGTGGCCTCAAATATTTCTAATTAAATTAATAATAATTAATAATAATAATTAGTTTTTGACAAATATTTTATTTTCTTCATTTATTTTTTAATAAAGTACGCTGCTCATGACGTATACCTATGCATGTTTTTTATAGCAAATTAACGCTGGTCCACTTTTACTGTTTACCGATGAACCCACTATTTCAGCTACTGGACTCCATTGACTCAGGTTTTAGCATGAAAAATAAAAATACTGTTGTGGCAAAGCTGAATCATCTGCTCTACATGGATGATTTGAAATTAATGGCGTTCAGTCGAAATATAGTCTCGTGTTCTAAATAAAGTCAAAACAAAGTTTCAGCCCCGAGATTTCGATATGCAAGATGGTCAAATCATCGGGACAATGGGTGAAAATGACCATAAATAAATGAAAACCGAACTATAGAGTTGGTGCGAAGATATCTAAATCGGTCATATCTTAATAGTAAAAATCTGTTTAAGGCAATAAATACATACGCCTGTTCTAGCCTAGCTACTCATTTGGTATTATAAAGTGATCAAAAACGGATACAGAAAGTCTTCGGCGAAAAGTAAGAACACTTTTGAAAAGGCACAAAAACATCATCCAAGCAGTGCAGTAGAGAGAACAATATTACCGTGGTATCAAGGGGGAAGAGGACTCATAGACATGGGTGAGCAACTTTATAAATAAACTGAAGGAACCAGAAATGCTGATAAACCACCCGTCTATGCAAGAAAAAATACGCAACTAGATAAGTAAACCTCTGCCTGGGCGACATCTCGATGATATTAGTCAAAAATATGTTGGTAATGCAGCGTCGCACTATTGATTGACATCATGAGAGATGTTTACCGAGACAAAGGGTTTCCTACCTGCCCGAGCATTCCAACTAAAACTTACCTAAAATATATTGTCAAAGATTTTCAGGTCCAAAACGACAAATGCCGATATGAATGTCTTTTTCTTCTTGTAGTGCCTATCCGTTTCAGATGTTGGCGACCATCATGGTAATCTGTATTTTGCAAAGTGCTGCTCTAAAAAGATTTGTGGTTGTTGTGTTGAATCATTTACGTAGATTTTTCAGCTAGGAAATCCTTCGCCTTCCAGCTCCTCGTTTTCCTTCTACTTTTTCTTTTATAATTACGTGCAGCAAACCATATCTTTCGCAGTTTCTTATGATGTGACCAAGGTATTCGATTTTGCTACATTTCGAAAGCCTCAACTTTCTTGCAGGTAACGTCTGTGTGAGTGTCTACGACTTAACTCTGTACAACAGTATTTTCAACATCCATAGATACAACAAATAATCGGCAAGTAGGGAGATATAGAAATACAAATAAGAAGACACTTGAGAATGGAAAATGCCCAGACGATACCTATTATCCTCTCTACTATTGAAGTTATTCCGAAAAGCCTCTTAAAAACATATAACAGCTGGCAATACGGAAAGACACCCACCAGAGCTCGATCCGTTTGCTACCGTAGGTATATGGAATAAGTGAATTTTTCCCTTAGAAGGAGTGTGAGCCGTATGACTAAATCTGGATATCATAGTTACTTCTAACTACTATAATCAGATCATCTACATGGACCATGAAGACATGGAGTATGACATTCTTCTCTGTTGAGATTTGCTAAAAGATCGTCAACCACTACGACCACATAGATGTATATACTTATACTAACCATACAATGTGTATGTCCTACTGCAGCAGGACTGGAAAGACACTATCCTCCCCAGAAGAACATTAGACAGTCCATTAGATTCTACTTTTATTGTTCTTGTAGATCTAAATGTAATTTCATCAAGCCTGTCCAGTCTGGGCTTTACCTTATATAAATGTTATAGCCGGAAAGTGTTCATTCAAAAATCATCTCATATTTTACTCTTTGATTTTCGTAAACTCATTGTTAGGCTTTTAAGTAATCCAATTTCATTAGAATGGTCTTTTAAAAATAACTTTTTGAAGAAGCAAAATTGGTGATACTCTCGCAGAACTAAACGCATGATTTTTTTAAACCTTATCTCATTTTTATATTTTGTTAAAAGTTTTTTATAATCCTCCACCTCCGAGTTACGTGAACTTTTGACCCTGTTGTTGAAAGCTCTACGTGCAGTAGTCTTTAGTTTTTCCAATTCCTTGTTCTTCAAGGCCCATCTCTAATAACGATTTTGTTCATGATAAGAAGAATAGGATATGATAAGAACAAGAATACCTACTGTAATTACTGGCACAAAGAGGATTTATTGCTGGTAGGTGTTGTACTGATAATGTGTTTTGCTTAAAGCAGATCATAGAAAACAAAACAGCAAAAAATCAAAAAGTACACATAATTTTTATTGATCTGCAAAAGGCTTCCGATTAAGTGCTAATAACAAAAATTTGGGAAATTTTTCAAGACACGATTATAAATTACAGACTCATGCGAACTAAAAGGGCTACGTCTAGGTTGCTGCATTTCTTTAACACTATTTTAAATATATACAGCAATAGCAGTACATACTTGGAAAAGAAAGTGCCATGACATGGAAATAAAATTTAATAATACCAGGCAAGATTTACTACAATTTGCAGATGATGAGGGCAAATACATAAGAAGAAAGTTGGCTAAAGAATATTAGAAATGAGGGCTTATATTTAATACTGAAAAAACCAAACAGTCCAGTCGTCAATGAGAGGACCTCCAAAAATCATACGACCAAGCTAAATTTTTAAGAGAATATTAATTTTGGGACCTCAAAAACATGCACATCGTACAAATAAATGTTTCAAATAAAAAATGTAGCTGAGATAATTTTAAACAAAAATGTTAATAAACATTTTTTTTGTAAAATGAACCGTTCTCTTAGAAACAACGCTTGAAGCGACCGTCGATTTTGCATGTCAGTTACGCGCGCGAAATTAATGTTGAATAAAATTTGTATCAGCTGGACGATGAAAATTCGATATCTTTTGATTAAAATGTCCTATCGACAAAAATCAAGATGCATTTTGAAGGCAAAGAGTGCAGCTTTCGTATGCAGTTTATGTATTTTGCCGAGAATCAACTCAGTTTTTATAAAGGTATTAATTAAATTAACTTGGCGCGATTTTTGCGATTTTTCGTGAGATCAATAATATTGATCACTTTCATTGACCAGTTGCAGTAAACTTTTCATTTTTAGAGATCAATCTTTAAAACCAATGACATGAAATTTCAATTTTGAGTTGTGGTTACAAATATGAGGCATTTGAAATATGAATAAAAAACACAGAGTTTAATGTTTTACATTAGAAACGATCACACGTCACAGAAAATGCATTTAAGAAGACTGTTTTGCGTGTAGATTATTGCAGTAGTTTTGTTATTTTGAAAAAAGTACTAGTGTAATTGAAAAAAAAAGTTTTAAATGTTTTAGATCGTTTGTTGTGGAAAGTTTAAATCCAACGTTGTTTAAGCATATTTCAATTGCCCCACATTTTTTGTTAAAATGCAAAACTAAAATTTCATGCTATAGCTTTTAAAGGTTAGGCTCTAATTATCAAAACTTCATAGTGGCCAGTCAATGAAAAGAATAGATTCGCGCCGGGTTTATTTATTTAACACCTGTATAAAATCTGAGTTTATTTGCGGCAAAATACAAAAACTGTATATACAATCAAAATTGTTTACCTTTAAAAAGCAGCTTGATTTTTGTCAATAGGTCACTTGAATCAAAAGATATCGAATTTTTACCGTCGAGCTGATACAAATTTTATTGAACATTGATTTCGCGCGCGCAACTAATCTTAGAATGCTTCTAATCTTTTTGTTTAAAATTATCTCAGCTACATTTTTTATTTGAAAAATTTTTTTCTACGATGTACAGATTCTGTGTAAATCGATTTTTTGCGTTTTTACCCCCCTGCAAGGGAGGTTTTAGGGGGAAGCCCGTAGGTAAAAGTGGTAAACTTTTTTGCATCTTTATTGGGGTCCCAAAATTTTTATTCTCTTAAAAATTCAGATTGGTCTTATGATTTTTAGGGGTCCTCTCATTGACGACTGGACTCTTTGGTTTTTTCAGTATTAAATATTAGTCCTCATTTCTAATATCCTTTAGCCAACTTTCTTCTTATGTATTTGCCCTCATCATCTGCAAATTATAGTTAATCTCGCCTAGTATTATTAAATTTTATTTCCATGTCATGGCACTTTCTTTTCCAAGTATGTACTGCTATTGCTGTATATATTTAAAATAGTGTTAAAGAAATGCAGCAACCTTGACGTAACCGTAGATCTTTTTTGGGGTCCCAAAATTAATATTTTCAGCAAAATTCAGCTTGTTGGTATGGTTTTTAGAGGTTCAGTGGCATTTTCGTCTCTGACGACTGGAGTAAAATATCTCAGCATTGGCACAGACACAGTAAATCTTGTACTAGATAATCACAAGAAGATAGAGTCTGTTGGTGAACGCAGATATATAGGAACAATATTAGGATGCCTTAATGGACTTCGTTGGAACAAAAATATAAAGAACAGAAAATTTATTATCTATGAAACTGTAGTAAAAAATATCCTATTACACGAATATGAAACGTGGAGATTAACAGAGAGAAAACGAAGAACGGTAGAAATCACGGAAATGAAAGTAATGAGGTGAATGTTAAAAATTTCGAAGAGAAAGAGGATAACAAGTGAAGAAATCAGGGAACGCATGGAAATATAGTACAGTAGACTCGCGATTATCCGAGCTAATTGGGACCGCACATACCTCGGATACCGAAAAACTCGAATATCCCGGAAATCGGGTGGTTCCTTAAAAAAACAAAAAAATTAAAAGTTATGACGTATGTTATTCGTTTATTAGGTACAGTTGAAGTATGTAAACCTGTATGCGAGTACATACTTAAAATATATAGATTGGAAAACAATTACGTACTGGATCATCTTTATGTTTTAAAAAAGTCTTTGATAGATTTCTGCGTCAACTTCTGGTCTCGTTTTAAAGCTGCCACGTATTGCCAACACTGAATATGAAAGATGTCGGTAGCGTTTGACTCTTCCTGTTGCTAAATGTGTGCAAGAACAGCTTCAATCGCCTTCAATCCTACAGAGTGAGATATTTTCTCGATTATCTCATATGTGTCATTCGCAGTGACATTGTGTGGGTTGATAGCCATGTCGGCCATTGCATCATCAGTCAATTCCATTTGCTAATTTTGCATAATCCAGTCGTTGACGTCTTCATCATTTATCTTGAGTTTCGTTGGTAACTGATTAGCGCGGTCTACTATTTCAGCAATACAGTCATTGTTATCTTTTCCATAACTTTTCGCTTCAATTTTAAAAAGCTTTCGCCATGACTTTTGCAAAGTTGTTACTTTCGCATCATAAATGGTGATCTTTTAAAGGCCTGCTGTCCCAGTCATTCCCTCATACAAGCAGATCAACAACACTTGGAGAAGCCTTTGACGATAATTCCGTTTAATAGCCTCTAAAATTCCTTGGTCCAGAGGTTGAATGAGAGATGTGACGTTTGGTGGCAAAAAAATAGATTTAGTGTCTTTAGTATCAACGCTAGCCAACGAACACTTGTATCTGGATCAGATGGCGCGTTGTCCAAAAGAAAAATAGGTTTTCTTGGTTAGTTTTTCTTTTTTAGTAGGTCTGTCAAAAAAACCAATCTTTGAAAATTTGGCAATCCATCCAAGCACTACACGTTGATTCCTGTACGTGGTGGACAGGAAGTTTACATAAATATTTTTAAAAGCCTTTGGATTCTTCGATTTTCCAATGGTCTTAATTGTAAAGAACCACAAGAGTTGCTACACATCAAACGAGTTACTCGTTTTTTGCTATTTTTGTATCCACGCGCAGTTTTTTTACTTTGAGTTGCCAGTGTTCTGGTTAAAAGCATTCTGAAATTGAGATCCGTTTCGTCACAATTGAAGATTTGGTCTGACGTGAGATCATGCTCTTAAATGAGATCTCTCAATTTTAAATTAAACGGCTCAATTTTAGTTGTCGGAGCACTTGCAGTAAAATTTTCCTTGTCATCCTTAAACCGTTTGTGAAATTCGATAGCTTTAGCTTAAAGCATGCGGCCGCTATTTGGACTTCCCAACCCTCGAAGATTAAAAAACCATAAAAATAAGGCTTCATAGATCTGTTCGTATTCTCCTTTCTTCATAGATTTCCGCAACAAATTACTTCCACCACTCACACTTTTATTAACCGATTGTTCAGTATCTTTTCGTTTGCGTCTTCAATCTCCCACAGTCACTTTTCCAACACCTAGGCCAGCAACAACCTTATTTACTGACTCACCCTTATCCAAGCGTTTTATAGCACTTAATTATGTTTCTGAAGAAAGCACAACTCGTTTACATTTTAAATTTATATTGCACTTCAAGTTACGAAGAAACTACACAAAGAGAAAACATGAATGAAGGTGTAAGAGCTTACAGTGGGACTAACCTAACATCTATAGCTGTTATGACTCAAACTGACGGTTGGAGGAGTGACTGGTGAGGCGGCCAGTAAAAGCACAGGGTCTAGAACAATAACACTTGCTAGTGACTCATCTCTTCAGCATACCAACAACTAGTGCAATTCTTTTACTTGATATCTCTTTTAAGCTAATTTATTACATAATTTGTTTTTTTTTTCAATTTAATTAGTTTGCCAATATAATGCCAATTTACCGAAATTTTTTTATTTAATTTTTTTATTGTAAATATGAAATTAATACCATTTTTTATGATGTATGGGATTGTTTTTCCGGCTCTAATTATATATTTTGTTTTGATTACTATTTAATTAATTGTTTGATAATCAAAAACTGCTGACAACTAAATATTGGAACATTTGTTGCTTTTCCTCAGGTTTCTTAAATTTTATCAACTTGGCAAATTCAAATGAAACATACGAGTAGGTAGTGCATTGGCAACATAATTGTCACGCGTTATTTGAGTATGAATAAAGTCAACTGTCAGTTCTATTACAAGTAAAATATAATAATGGAACGTGAAACCCTACTACGTGTTCTCCGTATTATTTTACGGGTTGGAGGCTTGGACTTTAAAGAAAGATGTTTTGGACAAAATGGAAGCCTTCGAGTTATGGGCCTACAGAAGGATATTAAGAATAAGTTGGGTAGATAGAATCACGAATGTCGAGGTGTTAAGAAGAATGGGTAAAGATAAAGAGGTCTTAAGTACAGTTAAAGTCAGAAAACTGCAATATCTGCGACATGTTATGAGGGGCGAGCATTATAACTTGTTGCGATTAATAATGCAAGGAAGAATACAGGGTAGAAGGAGTCGCGGAAGAAGACGCATCTTCTGGTTGAATAATTTGAGAGCTTGGTTTAACTGCACTTCTACTGACCTCTTTAGAGCATATGTGTCGATAGTGCGAATTGCCATGATGGTTGCCAACCTTCTTAGAGGAGATGGCACGTGAAGAAGAAGAAGAAGAAGAAGAAGAAGAAGAAGAAGAAGAAGAAGAAAACCCTACTAATCCAAAAGTTCGAGAAATTATTATTCATCAGTACCATGAAGGAAAGACAATGCGTGAAATTTCCAATGAATTGATTGTAGCAACAACTACTGTGTTTAATATAATTAGGAAATATGGTGAAACTGCTAGTATTGATGTTTGCGGTAAAAGCTCAGGCCGTCCAAAAGCTGTTTCTCAAAAAAGTATAAAGCATTTAATTAGAATACGTAAGTCGGGAAGAAAAAATACACTACAAGAAGTAACTGCTAGAAAGAATAGAAAAACTAAGATGAGTATTTCCAAAGAATCCTGTCGCAAATATATCCACAAAAGCGGTCTTAGTTTTTGTAAGGTATGTTTGATAGGTTCTTCTTTGCGATATAAATTTTCTATTTTTTGATTTATTTGAGCAGGCCGAAGAATAACTATTGCTGATGGAAACAAAAAAAGGAACCGTTACATTTGGGCTATAGCAAAATTTTCGTTTCATAACTGGGACAAAGTAATCTATATCGACGAAAGCAAAGTTGATGTCTGTGTGGGAGATTATCGAAAGCGTGTGATTCGGGAAAATCTGTGATTCGAGAAGCATTCAACAAGGATTTTCTCAAAAGAACTGTAAAGTTTTTATGTCGGCCAGGAGGTTGGGAACTCTACATTTTATTGAGGCCATAGTAAACGCAGCCAAATATCAAGATTTTATATTTTAGCAGGACGGAGCCTCATACCATACGGTTAAATCTACCAAAATATGGATGGAATAACATGACATTAAAGTTTTGTCATATCCTTCTAGCAACCCGGATCTTAATCCAAAAGAGACACTTGGGCACACAATAAAACAACTCATAAGAAATAATCCTCAGCGTATTTTGCCACAAATACGTGCTAAATTTTAAGAAATATAGGATAGCTTCACCCCTTAATCTGTGAAGGCCTAGTTGATACAATCCCTACTATAGTTCAGGCTGTTATTTAAGCTAAGGGCGACGTTTCCCCTTATTAATTTTTATTTTAATTTGTAAAAATCCTCTTGTTCCAATATTTAGTTGTCAGCATTTTTGGCTATAAAACAATTAATTAAATTGGTAATCAACATAAAATATATAATTAAACTGTAAAAATAATTCCATATATCATAAAAAATGTTGTTTACTTTATATTTACAATTAAAAAAAATAAATAAAAGAATTTCGGTAAATTGGCATTATATTCACAAAATAACTGCTTGTTTAACATGTTGTTAGGCCTCGTAATAGATGACATTCTTCTTATTGTGCCATCATCTAACGAAGATTTGCGATCACTTTTTAACCGCTTCCCAATCTTTTGTAACGTAAAATATCTGTTTAACATTGAAGTTAGTCTAATTTCTCAGATATCCGTAGATATAATATTTCTTAGCAAAGATTTCTTCTTTCTTTCCAAGCCTTTTCTTTCCTCTCCTCTTAATTGCATGATGACGTGCAGACGAAGGTATTTAACGATGTATATGGTCCAGATACGACGTATCATAATACAATCAATAGATGACATACAACAAAAGAAGCTCAAATGGTACGGGCATACACAGCGAATGAAAAACAGTAGACTTCCGAAACGACTATTGGTTTGGAAACACCACGAAGACAGAAGAGAGAAATATCGAAGAAAATATGAATGGCAGAGGTAAAAAAACTCAATAAGCTCCAAAGAACTAAGAAGGACAATGAAACAACCGACATGGCTGGAAATTGGGCTTTGGACAAGGTCGAAAGACGTTCTGAACTTACTACTTAAATATAATTAATTCTAGGTCTAGATCTAAGATAAGATAATATTTATGATTGAATGTAAAGAATTTATAATACATACCTCTCTAATCCATTGGTATCGTTTAGTTTAGAAGCTTCACTTATATCAGTATCGTTTAGTAATACATTTATAGTATCATCTATATTATCAGGTTGTCTTCTACCCCGGTCTTCTGACCTGTTGTCCTTTATTAAATTTATTTTGTTCGTACCAAGTTCCAAATTTTCATCTTCAGCATCTTCCTTGTTTTCAGCTTCATTTGAAGTATCACTTAATAATCCCATGTCTTCTAAAACAGTTTGTAAACCTCTTTCTACTACCTTATGATTTCCAAAAGTGTCATTACCTGAAGTGGAAGAATTATCAGTACTCAATCTCTTAAACATTGACTTCTTCTTCGTTAAATCTTGAACTCTCATTTTTTCCAAGCGATTGTTTAGTTGAAATTTAGTAAACACGGAGGGATAATTTTCATCTGAGAATGTGGCAGTGTTTGAACGTTTTTTATTGGTGTGGCTTTTATTTAGTTCACTCTTATCATTTGTCTTTTGTGTTTGGCTTTTTATTTGAAGGGGTTGAATTTCAACTAAAGTAGGCTCCCTTTTAATGGGAAAAAATCGGTAAGCATCTTCAAATGGCTAAAAAACAATATTTTAAAATATATATTTTGCACTAATCTTTGATCCAAATGATATCAGAATAATACAAAATCTGTATTGGAATAAGATAACTTTGTTAAAAGAGAGACTGGTGATACCGAAATCATGCATATTTAAAGAGGCGTTTTATCCCCTCTATTGTTTAACTTATATTCAGAAATTAAAAAATTATCAACAACATCCAGTAAGCCGATGACACAATAGTAATCGCTGACAGCGGACAAGATTTACAAAATCTGCTGGATAGAATCGTGCAGGAAAGAGAGAGGTCTGGTATCAAAGTCAACGAAAAGAAAGCAATGATTATTTGCAAAAGTTACCCGCCCGCAATAAAAATGTAGATTAAAGGGAATCCTATATACTAGATAGAAAGATTCATACGAGTATACCTTGGTTGTCTAATCAACAATACACTTGATAGAGATAAAGAGACAAAAAATGGTATGGAAATGCCAGAAACGTTTTCTTAACAATGAGACCGTTCTTTGTAAATACTTAGTTCTTACAATGCGATACCACATAGTGAAATACTATGTATATTATATTTAATGTAATATAGCATCCTTCTAGCAGCATATAGTAGGATGCTACATCCTGCTATATGATATATGGGATGAAAACATGAATATTGAAAGTCAGTACAATGCGAAAGCTTTGCGATGTGGATATTTTGCCGCATGCTGAAGATTCCTTGGACATACGAAGACACTCTAGAAATGCAAAATCCCTAAGACAGATTTATCGAGAAGTTGTTGACATAGTGCGAAAAACATCTTATTTTGGACATGTACTTAGGCACAATAGATATTGTAGAAAATAATTATATTGTCTACAATAGTTGTTTTTTAGTTTAATAATTGTTATTATTCCACTAAACTATCTTACTAAACTAAATTAAAGTCTATACGATCGGCACAACATTCCTTCTTCGTGCTGTTTCGTATCATCTGCGCCTGTCAGAATTTTACAGTAAACTATTCAAACCCGACTGCCCTTAACGCCACTTCGTTTTTGTCTTCTGAAATAGAAGGACGTAAGTCAAATCATTTCTCAACTTCTCAAATAAAAGTAAGTTATAGTTTTCACGCTTCTCAAATAGAAGCAGTTTTCAAACAACATGTTTTATTAATTAACTAAATTAAATTCAGTGTCTGTGCATCGAATATATAAGTACCTGCAATTATTCTTTTATGCAGAAGAGAATCTACAGTTTTGTGCCAACATTTCATAAATGCCGATTCGACAAATTACAGGGTTGCCGGATATTCAATAAATATTTTCTTGTTCTTTAAATTAATATAAACAGTTGTGCGCTTTAAGAACATTTTATATAAATATTTCTGTTTTATTATTATAAAGGGTGATTTGTTGGCGATTCTGCTATTTATTTTTATTTTTGTAAATAATATACTAAAAATATTTCTAGCGTTTATTCTTATTTTAATTATTCTAGTGTTAACTTTACTACTCACTACATTATTACTAATCCGCAATTTTGCGACCTATTGGTTGGTGGTCCTTCGAGGATAATATTTATTTATTTTTTATCTACCAAATGTAGGAAGGTGAGATTACAATTTTTAAACATTTACTCTCAAATAATCGAACCAACTACCTCATCCTTTCCCCTACAGATATAACTTCTTACTACTGATAATGGAAGTCAAGATTTAAGGCAGCCGAGGTCAGAACAAACTAACTATTCTACAAATAATAAAGGTATAGAGAATTATATAGTTTAAAAATGGCACTTTATGATTTATCACCTCGGTAATACTTAAAGTCTACTCGGCTAATTCTCAAAAATTGCCAACTCTATTTGTTCAAAATCAAATATGGTCATATGGAATTAATGGACACATTTCTTTTTTTCTCTTACCCCATTCGATTTATGAGCTTATACTGGATTTTGAAATTGATGAGAGTGAGCATTCATCAAAAGACAGAGTTACCTGCTGACTGTTGAAACGAGCATATAAAAAGTCGTTGACTTGAAGTATCAAAAGACCAAGTTAAATCCAACTGGTAAGTCTAATCAGAGTTTCCTTATATCTTTCGCGATGTTTTGATTATTTATTACAACCATTATAATGTCTTTGTTTTAATGCACCTATGCAACTACACTATTGCATAATGGGTATTTTAATTTATACATTTGGTTCTTCGAGCCAGATTTGAGTTTATTTGTCATAAATTATTTTAAATTTTAATAATTGCGTTTTTCGTTGTTTATTGTTTTTTTTTTGTGAGGTTAAAATACTGGGTTTTTGGTTTGACTCTTCTCATTTCGTATCGAAAAGTGGTCGATTAGCGTATCAAGGTCATTTTTAATTATCAACATATATTTTTTTATATTCGTTTGAAAGATAATTTGATAGTTTGGGAGCTAAGTTCTTGTACCTTTTATTTTAAAATAAAAAAAAATAAGAAAATAATAAAAAACTCAAGTTCTTGAAAAAAAAGACAGCTATGAATTACATTCATTTAATTTTAGATTTAGAAAATAAGCCTGTATTAAATAAATTTTTACGGAGTTTATTTAAAATTGGAATACAAGAATTAGATTTAATTTGGGAAGAATTCTTAAAACATCACACAAATATTACAATTTTTTAGTAATATTCTTTCAGTGCCTGACGCTGACACGAGGGCTGAAGCAAATGTTAAAGAATTATTTTTGGAACAATTTTATAAAATAACACTGCTTAGTCCGGAATTATTTAAGTCGCTATCTGAAAGTTCAGGACCATCAGGGGCTTCAACAGCAGTTGAAGAATCTAACACTGCTTGCCTTAAACACAGTTTCCTGTTGACTGTTAAGCAGACTACTTGTGCAAGCTTCGAAAGGCCACTTAGAATCCAACCGGTAAGTTAAACCAATAGTTTGATTATACTTTTAGGGATGATTGGAAGAAGCTTTCAGAAAATAAAGCTAGATAGAAAAGATCTTCGCATAATTCAAAACCTTTATTGGAACCAAGAAGCAACCTTAAAATATTCCAAACACACATTCCATACTAAAAGCTTCCGTATACAAAGAAGTGTCTGACAAGGCTCTGTCATATCTCCTTTGCTCTTAAACTTGTACTCTGAATGCATATTTAAACAAGCACTAGACGACTCCGAAATTGATATAAAAATAAACGGTAAATATATTAACAATAACAGGTATGCAGACAAAAATGAAAGACTTACAAAATATACTTCTTCTAAATGTGCCTATCTTATCGAGATGTTGGCGACCACATTGACCCATCTTATTCTATTCACAGCAGCTCAAAATAGAACTGTTAAGGTTAGACCAGTCTAACAAAAAGTGATCCGCTTAGAATCAACTGTAGAAATCGATATTTATTATACTCATGATGTGGTCGAAGTTAGCCAATTTTCTGTTCTTTACAGTGTTAATAATTTCTTTGTCTTTTCTTAGCCTCTGGAGAATAGTTGCTACTTGTGTGGTGTATGTATGAGACGCTCACCATACGTCAGTAGCACCACATTTCAAATGCCTCTATTCGTTTTGACATCTTCTGCAAGGCTCCAGATTTCTACTCCATAGAGGAGGACACTAAAGATGTAACATCTAAGAATTCTTGTGCATATATTAATACTTAAAGATAAGCTGCAGAGAATCTTCCTAAGGCTGTTAAAAGAGCTTCTGGCTCTTTTAACAATACGAGTTTTTATTTCTTTTACAATACGAGTTTTTATTTCGTAGCTCTGATCACAAGTATCCTTATTATTGCAGCCCAAATAGCTTATGTTTTCCACTCTTTCTATCGCCTATTGTAATTTGGGCGTTTATGTTGGTGTTCTTACTAATGATTATTATTTTTGCCTTCTTGTAATTTAGTTTTACACCGTATTTGTTACATGTTTACATGTTAACATGTACAACGTTATCCATCATCGTTTGGAGCTCCTGGCACTATCTACCAGTAACACTGTATCGTCTGCATATCTAATAAGTTGGCCAATTACATCAATCCAACCTTTTGATTCATCCAAGGCCTCTATAAAGATATTTTCAAAGTATATGTTAAATAATGCCTGTGGCAATATGCAACCCTGTCTAACTATTTTTTCGGCTGTGAATATCTCTTTAGGATATCGATTAGTTTCCAATGTGGGACTTTATCAAATGCCTTCTTAAAATCAATGAACGTACATACACATCGCAGATGACATCCCTGGCTCTCTGTATTAGAACTTGCAAACTAAAAGTGCTTCCCTCGTTCCGAGTCCTGCTCTGAATCCAAAATGAACTTCACCCAAGTATTCTTCTAATTTCGTGTATATGAGCAAATGAATGTTAATAAGGAGTACTTTAAGTATATGGCTCATAAAACTAATAAATATATGTTTTTCACATTTTCTAGCATTGTCTTTTTTAGAAATTAATTTGAATATTGATAGTAGCCAGTCTTTTGGTAAGAAACCAGTCTCGTAGATGCTGTTGAATAGCTTTGTAAAAGCTGTGATTTGGTATGTCTTAATAGCTTTAAAATTTCACCATGCACCTCATCAGGTCCTGGTGATGTCTCATCTTTAATCTGCTTAGTGCCCATAGTTACTTCTTCGTTTGTTATTTCTGGGCCGTAGGGATGGTTTATTTCAGTCGGACTTCGTGCTGCATCTTCGAATAATTCTTGCATATATTATTTCCATCTTCGTAATTTATCTTCAATGGAAGTCAAAGCTGGCCTTCAATGTCTACAACTATGTCTGTATTGTGTTGTTTTCTGGTGTTCTGTACAAAATATACTAGACAGAGTTAATAATAATGGAGCAATGGCACTGACAATAAATTAAAAAAAAACTAAGGGAATGGTGATTTGCATAATCGATGAAAATTGTCGCATTGGCATAAATAACACTCAATAAATACAAATTCAAATACTTAAACGTAAGTATTAGTAGTACTAAATGATAAGTGGAATCCAGATATAGAAATAAAAATACGAATAAGAACATGTATA